TCCACCGAAATAGCCGCCGAATTTTGGCAGCGACGCCCCTGGATGCTGCTGCTTGTCGGCGGCATTTCGGCGGATGCTTGTCCGCCGCCACGGTCCTCCGTGGCTCGTCATCTGGCGCCCGCCAGACGAAAAAAGGTTGGGGACCACTGGTCTACATTATGGCTCGACAGCGGCACAGCTACAAAGTCTACGAGCTAGAACTCCGGGGGTCCATTTCTGACTCTGCCACTGACTTGCCTAAGGTTACACAGCACGGCCAGTCATTTAAGCTCTTGGCCCTGCCTTTTCCGCATCTGTAAAATGAGGATAATAATACTGACCCTTCGCTGTAAAGCTCTAGGAGATCTATAGATGAAAATTCCCACGTATTACAGTATTATTCAGAATACTTTTCAGCAAGTGTTGAAAGAATCCGCTTCACTATTTGGCAGCACCGGAGTTTTGGCGTTGTTGGCAGCAGATCTGATTTTTCAGTTTGCTGGCAGTTTTGAAATATTAGAAAAAATGTTGATTCCGGTCGCATTGAAACCAAAATTTTTCACAATTTTTAGCAAATTGAAAAAGTCAGAATAGTTTTGTTTTGGGGTCAAATGGAACATTTTATTCAACCTGAAATGAAATGGTTCATTTAATTTTCAGGCATTTTAGCCTTCTTTGAAATAAAATAAAAGGAAATGAAGGGATGGATCACAAAACCAAGGAGAAAAAGGGGGCGACCCACTTCTACCCAATAGCTAGAGCACTACCATGAGGACTGGGACTTGAAAACCTTCTTTGAGCAGGGACTTGGCACGAGGATTTCTCTTCTCTGAGAAGGTGACACTCACCACTAGGCTAGTCCAAGCCGGGTTGCTGGCAAACTTTCCTGTTGAAGCTGTTCAACTTAGTATAAATAATACTCCTAGGGGAATTCTGCACCAATGTGTATGCACAGAATTTATGTGCCCCACAGATTTCTTTGCTTCCCCACAGAAAAATGTCTTTCTGACAGGGGAGCAAAGGGAATTTATAAGATCAGTCACATGACCCTCCCCAGCAGTATGTTTCGAGTGCCCAAGGCAGCCAGCAGAAATGTAAATCACTGTTGGGCAGGGGGCGGGACTGGGGAAGACCCGACTGGTGGCTCCTACCCTGCGCCAGGCTCAGCTTCTAGTCCTGGCTGGGCTGGGGAGGACGGGACTTCCTCTTCCCCTCCACGGCATCCGGGGCCATATCAGACTCACCCCCAGATTTCTCCCCCAGCTGTAGGAAGCTCTGCACACTCTCTTCCCTTCCCCGCCCCCGTGCATTTCCTGCACTCAATGCTCCTCAGCTGCAGGGGGAGGGATCTCTGTACAGGGAGCTCCTCCCCCATCTGCCCAACCCCTGTGCATCCAGACTCCCTCGCACCTCACGCTGAGGCTCATCCGCCCTGCACCTGGACCACCCCAATGAGCCACCCGCACCCAGATCCCCACCCTACCAAGCCCCAACCAGCTGCACCTGGATCCCCACCCTACTGAGCCCCATTTCCCCAGCATCTGGATCCCCACATTCAGCTCCCCACACCCACACACCCCTGCCGAGCTCTATCCCCCTGCACACCCTGACCCCCCCATGCTGAGCCCCAACCACCTTCACCTGGACCCCCTTCCAGAGTCCCATTACCATTGGACACAGAACCCCCCTGTGCATCAAGATCCCCCACTGAGCCACCCGCATCCAGATTGCCCCACACAGAACCCTCTCAACCCACA